CACCATTGAATATTTAATCTCGAACCATCTCACGTATAAATGACGATCAATTTACATTTATAATAAGCAAGAAAAATTAATTATGTAAATTTGGTGTAAAATACTAATTGGCCAATCACCACAACAAACGTGGAATTTGAGGATTTAATTTATTCAGCCTAACAATGTTTTTAATTTGTGTGAAACCCTTTTTGTAAATTTTAAAATAGGCTTTTATAAAAGCATCTCTATGAAAAAGCTATAAAAAAAAAATCATAAGTTTTAGAAATTATTGACTCCTAAATTAAGGTTTTATAATTGGGGGATATGACTTAGCTTTTTCGTAAACGGCAAAGTGGTGGGAACTCACATATTTAAGCCGGAACCTCACATACGTTCAATACGAAAATACGACATGATGTGTTTATCTATTTCTTAAAACTGATAAAATATGGAATGGAAATATAGAAAACAATGTATTTGGACATAATAGAAAATTTGGAAATCTCTCGTTTTTCTTATTCACTCAAGTCGTTATAGATTTGCGTCAATATCAATAATTTTTTGTAGGAGTGACGCGTTCATTGACCTTTTCTTTTAATCAGTTTACTTCCAATTTAAGAGAATATTTTTTTTTTTTTGTAAAACAGATTGTATTTTGGGACCATCCATCCACAAGTAACTTAGATTCAAGGTTGTAATTGACGGACACCTCATGGGTCAAGAATACACTATAAGATGTTTTCCTAGTCGTATACCCCTACGGTTTAATCATAAAGTAGAAAAATAATTATGAAAATAATATTTAATTTGTGTTCATGGCCATTTTTTAATTTCTGCCATATGGCATGTAAAAAAGTATACGTCAATAATGTTTGATAATGAGTAATTTGTATTCGTTATATTGTGTTATCATCAAAATTTAAGTTAGGCGAAATGCATTTTATTAGAATAGAGAAAAACACTATGTATATATTTGGTACTTCAATAAAAATTGACATTATTGTGTACACCGCTAAAGTAAAACATATGTCTACTATATTATATACGGGTAATTACAATAAATATCATATGTAACACACAAAAAAAGAGTATTTTTGTGAACGTTAAACTTGATTATTTGTCCAAAATAAACAAAATTTCAATGTTCTCAATTACTTTCTGAAAATAGTTGTTTACCTAAGTGATCCT